AAATACAGCTTGGCAAGTCACTGATTAGAAAGCCCAAAGTGGATAATCTGTTGCTAAATTGTATTTATTTCCTCACACACTGTTTACTGTTAAAGGAACACTAAAGGGTCAGGAACACAAACAGGTATTCCTGACCCTATAGTGTTAAAACCACCATGTAGCCCCCTCCATTGACTCCCTAAATATAGTAAAGTCTTACATGTATTCAAGTCTGTAGCTGCTGGCTCTGCCCCTGACCTGCCTGCTGTCATCATCAGTAGTGTGCTCTAAGCCAATCACCATCCCCTTATAGAGATAAATTGAATCAGTGCATCTCTATGAGGAAAGTCCAGTGTCTACATGCAGAGGGTGGAGACAACGAATTGCAGTGTTGCCCACTGTGCAGCACTGCCCAAGGAAGCACCTCTAGCAGCCGTCTGAGGAATGGCCAGTCAAGTTATCACTAGGCTGTAATGTAACACTGCATTTTCTCTGAAAAGACAGTGTTTACTGCAAAAAGCCTAAAGGGAATGATTCTACTCATCAGAACAAATTCAATAAGCTGTAGTTGTTCTGGTGACTATAGTGTTCCTTTAAGTACATTCCAATCAACTTTGTTTTGTCCAAATACCAAGTTAGGTATCTCTCAGTTGGGATTTCCCTAACTCTTATTCATCTGTCAAACAGGTAACCAGGGTATTAGGTATTTCCTGTTTTGTTCATTTTTGAAATAGGAGATCCCCTTTCCATTGTATCTATTACCTTTCAACCTTACCTTGTATCTATTACCTTTCAATTCAAAGCACAAGAATTAGATAATAATATAATTATATATTACATTATATGCCCCCACCTTTTATTCATCTCCCATATATTTATAATTACTTCCTACTTCCCTGAGCATGAAGTGGAGGGAAAGGGGTAGTTAACAACATGGTCCTTCCTGGTTATCACAAGTCCTTAAGATACCCATTGGGTCATTCTGCTGGGATGGGGGGGGGGGAGGGGGAGGGTGTATATAAACATGAGGACTCAAACAATGCTTTCATTTTATTGCAGCAGCAAAGAGTGTCACTTTGTCACTCTGGGGTGACACTGAAAAGGTTAGGTTAAAGAGGCTGTGCACGCATTGTGAAAGTTTAAGGCCTAAAAAAAAACATTGGGACAAATATACTATTATACTATGGTATTTTTCAGCAATGGTAAAAATCGAATTGTGAAGACTTGATCCCATCAAACATCCTAAGAATATTTCTCTACACGTGGGACCTACCATTACGGACTGTGATAAGTTTCCCTTTGGACTATTGCCTACTATTTATTTTATCTTATATTTTTAATATTTGATTATTTTATTTTTATATTTTATCATAATATTGTCTTTTATATATTTTAGGCGCACCCTTATTTCTCTGTTTGTTTTAAATGGTAAAAATCAGCCTAGGAAAGGTTTTAAAAAAGTGCTTATTTCAATTTTTTAAATAATTTATTCATTTTTATGGGTTGTAAGTGCTCAATATTGTGTCAAAGGAAAACCTTATCAATTCTCTGACAATGAGTATTCTAGATCAGTGCTCCTCAATTCTCTCCTGAAGACACGCCTAACAGTCCAAGATTTAGGACTGGAAAAAAAAAAAACACCTTAGATCAGGATTTAGGGATTACCCTGTTGTGTTTTAAGTGTTTTTTCTAACTGGGTAATCCCTAATTCCTGGACTGTTAGAGGGTACTTGAAGACTGGGTTGGGAACCACTGCCTTAGAGTCTAACGTGTTTTTTTTATTTTAGTTTTTTTAAAACACCTTAGACATACCTAGGTAATCCCTAAATCCTGGACTGTTAGGTGTGCCTTGAGGAGAGGGTTGAGGATCACTGTTTTAGATTAGGAAAGTAAAATTATCGCTGAACTAACTCATTTCAATCATTCTACAAATTCTTGTCAAGAGTATAATATTTATTTTTATTGAGACGTTAGATATATAAAGCAAAATGTACCAGAATGTTGCCATTGTAAGCACTTCTTGAAATTGGCAAATCTTCATCTGGCTGTATAAAATATTACAGAACAGGTTTGACAGTGAGAAAGACAAGGCCATCATTTCCGCAGAAATGGCTAGAGGCAAGAGATAAAAAGATAGCAATCTATTTGTGTATGTGTCTAGTGTAACAGGACATAACATAAATGTTACAAATAGTATACTCTTCTAAAGAAAAATATAAGAATGGTGAGTGTTTATACAAGTGGCATTGGAAAACTAAAAGGTACATATAGTCAATTATAATCAAAAATATGTAATTAAAAAAGAATGTGTTAAAAACCAGACAATACACATTTTCTAAAAGTTATTATCTTTTATTCAAAAAAATCGAATTATTTATATATATATATATACACTGAACAAAATTATAAAACATAACACTTTTGTTTTTGCCCCCATTTTTCAAGAGCTGAACTCAAAGATCTAAAACTTTTTCTATATATACAAAAGGCCTATTTCTCTCAAATATTGTTCAGAAATCTGTCTAAATCTGTGTTAGTGAGCACTTCTACATTGCCGAGATAATCCTACCTCACAGGTTTAGCATATCAAGATCACAGCATGATTATTGCACAGGTGTGCATTAGGTTGGCCACAATAAAAGGTCACTCTAATATGTGCAGTTTTATCACACAGCACAATGCCACAGATGTCGCAAGTTTTGAGGCAGCGTGCAACTGGCATGCTGACTGCAGGAATGTGCACCAGAGCCATTGCCTGTGAATTGAATATTAATTTCTCTACAATAAGCCATCTCCAAAAGTGTTTCAGAGAATTTGGCAGTACATCCAACCAGCCTCACAACTGCAGACCACGTGTAACCAGACCAGCCCAGGACCTCCACATCCAGCATCTTCACTTCCAAGATCGTCCGAGACCAGCCACCCGGACAGCTGCTGCAACAATCGGTTTGCATAACCAAAGAATTTTCTGCACACACTGTCAGAAACCGTCTCAGGAAAGCTCATCTGCATGAGATACCATGACGAGATCCTGAGGCCCATTGTTGTGCCATTGATCCACGACCATCACCTCATGTTGCAGCATTATAATGCTCGGCCCCATGTTGCAAGGATCTGTACACAATTCCTGGAAGCTGAAAACATCCCAGTTCTTGCATGGCCAGCATACTCACTGGACATGTCACCCATTGAGCATGTTTGGGATGCTCTGAATCGGCGTATACAACAGCGTGTTCCAGGTCCTGACAATATCCAGCAACTTCGCACAGCCATTGAAGAGGAATGGACCAACATTCCAAAGGCCACCATCAACAACCTGGTCAACTATATACGAAGGAGATGTGTTGCACTGCCTGAGGCAAATGATGGTCACACCAGAAACTGACTGGTTTTTGGACACCCCCGGACCCCTCCAATACAGTAAAACTACACATTTTAGAGTGGCCTTTTATTGTGGCCAGCCTAAGGCACACCTGTGCAATAATCATGGCAAGATATGGCTGAGAGATAAAAAGATAGCAATCTATTTGTGTATGTGTCTAGTGTAACAAGACATAACATAAATGTTATAAATCGTATACTCTTCTAAAGAAAAATAAAAGAGCAATCACATGGCCGCAATTGTTGTCCATAGTGCTGCCTGCAGGGGGACTGTCTAAACTGACAGGCAGTCTCCTTGCTGCTGGAAAATAAAAACTTTTTAAATGTTAATAAATTTTAAAATCTTAAATATGTATATATATCTTATATATATAATGTCATACTAAGTGTAATTTTATATTAATATATACGTATATTAATATTAAAATACACTTATAAGTAAATTACACACACAAATATATATATATATATATATATATTTAACTAAATATATTGTATATATATTAGTATAAAATATAAATAATAAGTAAATAAAAATAAATAAAAAAATTAAAAATGGCTTAATGGACGCGCATTAACAATGCTCCGAGCAACCCGGGACTCAATCCATTGTAATCAGAGAATTTTACACAACATGGATAATCCCAAAAAGCTGCACCAACACCAGAGACAAGGAGGGAAACCCTCTAACACCAAATTGGGCTAGATAAACCGATATTTCAAAGACAATACCGACCGCGAGGAAGAGGCCGGAGCCGCGACCAACAAAATGGCGGGGACGGAATCACTCTATATCCCACAACCTAACAGCCCTTCCATCTCAGAAGGCTCACAGTCTGCAACTGACACAACCACAGAATCTGATATAAGAGATCTCATAAAAAAACTTACCATCAAAAACAGATCTCCAAATACTTCTGGGGAAGCTCGAGGCCACATTCCTATCCAAGATGGATACCATGGGTTCGGAGGTTCACCAGCTGAACTTGAGAGTCACGGACCTAGAAGAAGAAAGAGAGGTATTACAAGCACAAATAACGAACATATCCACAACTGTGGACTCGCATATACACCATTATGCATCCACTCAAAGGCACATTGACAATTTGGACAATTGTGGACGCAGGAACAATTTACGTATACGTGGATTACCAGAAGCTCAGGGAGAAAATGTAACATCAATACTAAACAAACTTTTTAACTTAATTCTAGGGGAACCAGGAGACAACAACATAATACTCGACAGAGCTCACTGCTCCTTACGCCCAAGAGGCCTTTCACTTAACGCCCCAAGAGATATAATATGTCACATACACTATTTCTCAATTAAGGATAACATCCTCAAACTTCTGAGAGAAAAGACACAACCGTTACTGTTTCACAACCACCCCATACAAATATTTCCAGACCTCTCATGGTACACATTACAAGCTAGGAGAGTGCTAAAACATATTACTAAACTATTGAGAAACCTCAATATCAAGTATCGTTGAGGATTCCCCTTTGCCTTAATTGTGTCCAATAAAGGGAACATTCTCTCAATCACGTCTCCATCTGACATCCCCATTTTCCTACAAGCATTGGAATTACCAGTGACCTCAGTCTTGGACTGGAACTCATGACCACCAAACCAGGAGGCCATGAGTCCTCCACAACGCCATCGGCTCACACTGGCAAAAAAGCGTCGGAACGAACAACGATTTCTGTCACCTAACCAGAGAAATGGAAGCACTCAAGATGACCGCCGAGGTATGCGGCAAGATCAACTAACAGCGCATTAAACATACTTTACTTACTGACACGGCATCTCTCTCCATACTCAGAAGCTCGATTGCCTGGGATCCCCTACTCCCACCTCCCCTCCTCACCATCCTCTATGGAACTCACACCTTTTACCCTACCTTTCATCATTCTCCCCCCAAAACTCAACTCCAGATACCGTACCATAATCCTCAGACTTCTGTCACTCACCACTGTGCAGAAACTTTTGAAGAAGGACGGCTCTGATGAAATCCACCACAAAATTTTACTCCACATACCCTCCTCCCCCGAGAAACAAGAAGACAGAAGATTGAGAGAGCAGTAAACAACCTTTTACCTCTGGACACTATATCTCACCGAACCGGACAGTGTAGATTCACCTCGAATTACCTAAAACACGCATTCCCAAGATCTTCTAATGTCACGTCGTATTATTACATCAAATGTTTTGGCTATATGTACACCCCTACACACCTGGGTGATGATTCAAATATAAACTTCCCTCTAAGAAACCAGACCAAATACAACACAGTATTACACATAGTAATATCACCCTCTATGAAACCCACCCAGTGGGTCATACACTGACCATGGTAACGTATATAGGCTCCATATGCCAGGTAGTACTATGGCACCAAATATTATGACTATATGTATACCACTTTCTCTGGTGCGACTATTCTAGTATAAGCTTCCTTCCACGAAAACAGACCGAATACATCATAGTATTTCGTATAGCATACTCACTCCCTAGGATACCCATCCAGTGGGTCATGCACTGACTAGGGTAACATATATAGATTTAAAACGACTTGTAGTTAACCATATCTCAACTAATGCTGATTAGCACTAAATACAAGAAGCATTTCGATACCGCATACCCTTTCTTTCCCTCCCTCCTCTTATCCCTCCTCTTTCTCCTTCACTTCCCTTCCTTCCCCCCTCTCCCCCTCCCCCTACATACTCTTTTATTCTTCTAACCTCCCTTCCGCCCCCCCTCCCCTGGTTTAACAACACAAGCTCACACACCGAATTACAGTTGTGTAAACAATAGTTCTCCTAAAGAAATTGTACTGATATAGGATTCCCAAACCCCCGGGGTTCAAAACTAGCCACACTACCCCAATTATACACAGGGTTCTATCTTTGCACCCAGACAGAACACCCTTCACCCTCTATACTAAGAGGAATTAATCACCACTTTATTCTTAACGAAAATGTTTTACGAAGTTGAGTATCATCAAATCCACTTATTAGGCTACTAACAAGCCAACACTACTAGAACAACTTCTCTTTTATAGGAGGAAGCATAAAAAGCCTTTGTAAAATACTGAATATCATTAAGCACTGTTACATATAATTGTATTGTTTTGTTGTACAAGATATAAGATACACCTAAAAGAACAGAGGTAGAAGAAAATTCATAGGGTAATACCATATAAATAAGAAAGGCCCCTTACTAATGATATACACTCACAAGATATATGGATTTTGCAGGCCCATCAATATCTCTTTAAATATTCAGTGTAGAGATTCTCAATATCCACGGATACATGTCAGGAGAGAAAAATTGGACATAGTGCAGCAATGTTTTAAATGTATAAAGACACACTTTAATTGAATACACTTACAAGAAGTTAAAAATGGAAATGCTCATCAACAAATCTCTGTATCACTCTCTTCCAGGTGGTAACAAAGTGAGGTAGAAAACAGGAATAAAAACTCAGCTCTACGCGTTTCATCTACTGAAATGTAGACTTCTTAAGGAGCAAAATCAATTAAAAAATCAAATATAGCAGCAATAAATCAGAAAACGAGTATTCAACATCACATATCAAACATTTGCTTTTAAATGTCCCTCTCTTCGGTTTTCCGTCCATTCCGCCAATCAGTTCTGTTGAAATCAGTTTTGTATATTTGTATTTGAGGATTTTGAGGAGTACTTTGTTACGACCTAAAGTATAAGGGAAGTAGATGCATGGCCGCGTTCTAAATTAGCTCCGGCGGCACCAGACACACATCCAACCAGATCGGGCCACAAAACGAAAGATGGGTCACCCAAAACGAGCTGCATCTTCCCAGCAAGCCTCCAGCAAAACCCCATCGGGTAAATCAAGCGCTTTTACTAAGTATTTCCGCGACCGGGCGGATAGTAATGCGGGCGCACTAGGCCCCAATATGGCGGCAGACTCCTCACCTCTCTGTATGTCCCCCTCCAGCCCAGCAGACTCGGAAATTTCGGGCCCCCCGACGGACGGGGACCTGAAGGACATCCTCAGAAATCTGCCCTCCAAACAGGACATTGCAGGCATGCTGACCCAGCTAGAGGCCTCCGTCCAAGCCAAAATGGATGCATTTAACTCTGAAATTCGCCAAGTAGCTGACAGAGTGAGCACCCTGGAAGATGACCGAGATACTATGCATACGCAGCTGAACTCCCTGCAGGCAGCAGTGGAACACCAGATCACTTACCTGTCCACGCTCCATAGGTCCATGGATGACCTAGACAACAGGGGGAGCCGCAACAATCTAAGGATCAGAGGTCTCCCAGAAAACGAACAAGAAGATATCTACCAGACGCTGAATTAACTATTCAACTTAATTCTGGGTAAGCCAAGAGACCATCACATCCTACTAGATAGAGCACACAGGGCACTGAAGCCCAGAGGTATAGCGACTGACAAGCCCAGAGATGTCATTTGCAGGCTTCACTATCACACATGCAGGGAAGATATACTGCACACGCTGAAACAGACCTCACAACCTATGCTATTTCATGATGCCCCAATAACCATCTACCCCGACCTCTCGTGGCTGACACTACAAGCGAGACGGATTCTGCGACCAATTACGGACCAATTAAGATCCAGAAACCTAAGATACAGGTGGGGATTCCCACTGGCACTGAGTGTCACGTATATGGGCACTCAGCACACGATACACTCCCATGCGGACATACCACTCTTTACACAAGCCCTCAACCTCACAGACCCACACATCATGGACTGGTACGGACCGCTGCAAACACCACTTCCACCTCAGCTGCCGCAGAGATCCCGATGGCAACAAACGCCCAAGAAGAAAAGATCAGATACCCAAGACCTGTCGCTACACTGAAAAGATTCCAACCCTGCGCACACACTACGACCTGCTACCAGCCAAGGCTATATGATCCACTAGCAGCTGCCATCTCCGGGACACCAGCTGCTAAAGGAAGCCCAACTCGAACAACCAAGGGACATGCTGAGATGACCATCTCTAACACGCTGCCAGAGACTTGTTAACGCTCCTCGGAGCCATCTCCACTTGGGGCTATCAGGACTCTCTTAAGAACCAGGTGACCGTATCCATATAATGCTAAACCCATGTTGCTAGGGGATGAACCCCCCTTGGGTATGATACAGAGCGAAAATGTCTTAAATGCCAATCCCTATAACGCCAGCCAGCTGTCGCAATTTCCGCGACCTCAGCAGGAATAACATTCAACAGGGTAATCTCGCTTATTTTCCCGCGACACTTACCATCCCCGGCAGCGGCATAGCAGGCAAATATTCAGTCCTGATATACGGCTTCCACCTCTCCCTCTCACTATGCAGACCCAATGGCTAGACATATCATTAACGCATCACCCAAAAAAAAAAAAAAAAAAAAAAGTTTATCTAGAATAACGCTGTTTATACTGTTTCTATAGCCTCCTCATCTAAGATGTCTAACTAACTGATATGTTGTGGAATGTATTTACGGATGTGTGCTCTGGCGGCGACAGTTGATGACTCTTACTCCCTTTGCTCTCCTACGAGAGTCACTGGCTGACACCAGTCGCCCGAGACCACCTCCGTCCCCATCTCTATTTGCATACTATCGTATGATTACTAGACGACTTGCATTGTACTAGGTCGACACGACCTATACCACGGTGTCACAAAAGTCCCAGGTGGCAACGTCCCACTCTGGGCCCGACACCAGAGGTCTCCCCTCAGACTGCTGGCTGACGCCCGGTGTTCAACCGGTGCCTCCTAGCAATCTCGGGAGACAGTTTCTACTCCGATCTATTTATAGATTTTTCGCTTGTATATAAGTTAATTGTTCTATATTTTTCTCTTCTTGTTGTTTCTCTTTTTCTTTTGCTTTCCTTCCCCTTTTGCTCCTCCCTCCAGGTGACCAAATCCCCCCCCTCCAAACATCCCCCCCTCACCCACAGACACTCTCATTGGCACACCTACGAACGTATCCAGACCTGATGGCTACCATACAATTAGTCACACTCAATGTTAAAGGCCTCAATACGCCCGAGAAAAGATCCATAGCTCTTACAGAGATGCACAAACTACGAGCTAACGTGGTCTTCCTACAGGAAACTCACTTTAAGAAGGACAGAGCGCCCACTCTCAAGAGCAGGACATACCCAACAGGATTCTTTAGTAACTATAGTCACGCCAAGGCCAGGGGGGTAGCCATACTCTTTGCAGCACACACTCCTTTCACCTACAAGGCTCACAAAACTGATGATGGGGGCAGGCTACTCTTGGTAAAGGGACAGATAGGCCAGACCGTCCTTACATTTGCTAACCTATACCTACCCAACCGACACCAAGGCAAAGCCCTCAAGAAGTATCTTAATATAATTGAATCCTTTATGGAAGGCATGTTGATCATGGGTGGTGACCTGAATATGTCCTTAGACTCTGCCCTTGACACGACCTCCCACTCCACACAATACCAAAATGCTGCAAGGAAACAGATAACACACCTCCTTGACCAAGCTAGACTATTTGACTGCTGGAGAACCACACACCCACAAGATAGAGACTACTCCTTCTACTCCTCAGCCTCACGCTCATACTCCAGGATAGACATGATGTTCCTTCCCCAAGATCACCTGCATCTGGCCATCTCCTGCTCCTACGGTCCAATCACCTGGTCAGACCATGCACCTCTATCCCTAGCCATACAGATCCCTACGCTCCCACTGACGTCCTTTCATTGGAAACTTAACAATTTCCTCCTCAATGACCCCACAATCACAACTCGTGTGACAACTGCACTTACCAACTACTTCCAAGAAAACACGCTACCAACCATCTCCCCCATGACCACTTGGGAAGCGCACAAATGCGTCATAAGGGGAGAATTCCTAGCAATAGCGGCCACTCTCAAAAAAAGGAGAACACAGAAAATAGACACACTCACACGAGAAATCAGAGTCCTTGAACATACTCATACCCGGGATAGTTCCCTATCAACTTATAACACCCTCATAACCAAGCGCACAGAACTGACACAACTACTGCACCACCAGGCCAAGAAAAAGCTCCTCCATACCAG